TTCTTTGTCAGTTACTTTGAGCGTCACTCCTCCAATGACTCCTCGACTAATCCTCTGTTATCCAACAAAAAACATTGAACTATTTTCTCCTCAATCGTGTTAATGTGTATAGCTATTCCCTGTTGAGTGCTGCCTCTAGTCTCCACTAGATGTTGGCACTTCGGACTTCTTGCAGTTGGTTTATGTTCGTTAACTGAACTGGACTCAAATTCTTAAAAGAGTCTCCGTGAGTGACTAGTTTGAAAATTACTTTATAATCTTCATTTTATTTTTCAGTAGCATTCTAATATTGTTCATCATTTGATTACCCTGTGTTCAACTCCTCTTCAACTGGCTTGGCTTTTTCCATTTTTTCTCTTTTTTCATCTCTGCTGTATTCATTTTCACTATTTCCATTTTCCATCCCACCCTCCCACTGCAGAGGGTCCACCTAATTAAGTGCCATCCCAAACACCATACAGTGGTTAGGGCCAGTGGAACGTTCAGCCCTTAAATAGCAAGCCTGCATCAGTTGCAGGTTCGCTGCAGCGGGTGTAACAGCGACCTTATAGTGGAGTAAACATGTGCATTCAGATGTAATTCCGCTGGTTTGCTGCATCTTCATCACACTGATAGATTTATTTTTTTTAAATGACTTCATTAGGTAATTAAAGTTTAGGTTGCGTACGTAGGTTAGTGTTCCTGATAGATTTTAGGCCAGCACTGAAGACCTTGAAGGCCTTCACCACCTACCACTGTTATAATGTTAAATTGTTTTGTTTTTTTCCTTTTGAAGACTCCAAGACTCCTTCTCAGGCTGGGCTGTAAAGCTGACTGTGTAGGACGGTTCTAACTGTGTCCCTGTATTCTGACCCAGTGGTTGAATAAAAGCTGAAATCTTCTTAATGCAAACAGCATTTCACCAACCTCTAAATGTAAAGCAGAGATTTGAGTTGTTCTAATTGCTCCCGTAATTATTCACAAAGCCTGATGTAAGATGATATCTAGTTTTTTAAGCTCTGTCTCAGATGCTGACTCATAAATGTTACAACCATAATCATCATTAACTCTAATCGGGCTAATTAATGTAGATCATTTTCAGAGAACAAACCTTGTTTGTAGAAAAGCTGTTTCTTAAACCTGCTGGTTTTCCTGTCGCCTCAGCATTTATCTGTAGGTTTCTGGACCTGTTATCAATGTTTTCTGGTTCATTACCGGTATTAGACTCCCCTTTTTTCTTTGCAACTTTAGGTCCCACATAGACACAAAACAAATATAGATAAGCTTTTCTTTACGTCAAAAACGAAGAAGTTGTGGGTTTGAAAAAAAAGGATGCTTGTGACTCAGTCTTAAGTTTCGGCATATGAGGAGCTCATGATGTTGCCATTAGTTGATATTTAATTATATGCAATGTCATGGTAAAAAAAAAAAAAAAAAGTGCACAGAGAAACATGGTTTACCAGGGTTTACTTTTTGGTTTTCTTTTAAACAAAATTAAGATAAAGGGTTAAAAAAAAACGCCTTTAAGTCAGAGTCACCCCGACTCAGTAAGTTTTGTTTATTATATAGCATGTTGATATGAAGCCAAAGAAATGGGTTTTTGCTCGTATGATTTTTAAAAATACTATTCTGCCACCTGCCTCTTAGTCATCCTGTGATTCAAAAAAAAAAAGCTCCCATTTTACCATCTCACACAAGTTCTCATGTTTCAGTTGTACTTGTGTGCTGTTCAAATTGATTCACATAACCCATAACCCTGTTTTGTTTTTGGTTAAGTTTAAGGAAACATTTCTTTTGTTGTTTAATTGTAGATTGTATGTGATCTAAACTTTATACTCAAACTGACTTCCTAATTTTATAGGAAAAGGGAACAAGACTATTTCAGCTTTAGTATTTCTCTATTGCACCCTAGATAGAAATGATATACTTAGTTTATGCCAATCATTACCCTGTAACACCAACATTTTAAATTAAATCACACTCATGTTCAGATTAATAATGTTGACAAATTACTTCAGTTCAGATTTTCTTTTTTATGTGTTTTGTTACTTTATATGAATTCAGACGTTTTCAGACATCAAGGGCCGGATCTATCAAAGGTTTGCGTGTATTAAAACGTGAGCTATTTCACTGCGCACGCTAAAAAATGTACAAACTGATCTATCAACAGCGTGCTAAAAGCATTTGGTCTTTAAAACGTGCTAAATAGCGCCTCTGATCCATTTAGTACTTTTTCTGCAATGAATATGCAATATGGGGCGTTTACACGCTAAAGTGCGTCTTGTGGGAGGAGAACATGTAAATATATTAATTTAGCACTCGCAAAGTGATTTATCAAACTTGAACGCAATTTTGCTAACGGTATCTGACTCTATATTTAACACGTTTCAAAAGAAGGTGCAAATGGTCTGTATGCGTAATTGCGCACACATGGCAGCGGTTATTGTCGCAAGAAGGAGACATGGAAATAAAGCAATGAGACGCAGAGAACGCATTTTTTCACTCCGTGTGAATATTTTTGCAATGAACGAGGAAACGATCATCAAAACATATCGTTTATCCAGCATTGCCATTTTGGAGCTGTTGGGGGAACTCCGAATGGATTTGGAGCCAGCCGCAAGGAGGACCCACGCAATACCAGATATCACAAAACTCCTTGCAACATTGCACTTTTTTGCATCTGGGTCATTCCAGCGTACGGTTGGAGCGAGAGCTGGGATCTCCCAATCTCGTTTTTTCAGAAGTGCTGTCCGACGGGGTCGGGGTTCTCCCCCTGCGCCCGTGGAGCAACGTGCCAAATGCTGCGGGGATCTCATCCACAGTCACAGGCCAATACAAAACACCTGTTTTTTTTTTTGTTTTTTTTTACTGCAGCACATACCACCTTAGGGAATAAAGGTTGCCAATTTATAAATATATATATATATATATATATATATATTTACTTATTTTTTTTTTTGTTGGGGGTCACTGTAATATTTAAATTTCTTAATGCACTAGTTTGTACAGACTACAAACTACTTTGCCGCAAACCACAAAACGCGCAAAACCATCATTTAAATAGGGCGTCTCCAACAGTTTTGCACCTTCCACCAGTTACGCAATCACTCTTGTTAAATCACCCGCAAACCATGGTTCAGCCCCTCGCGCAAAATTCCAGTTTGCGAGCGCAAATTACTGCACGCAAAATTGGATCTTGATAAATCCGGCCCCAAGAGTAGTCCTTTCCGTTTGGGTTCATTATATTTAGATGAAACTAGTGTTATTTAAGGAGCATATTTTCAACAAACAATCTAGGTTTGAGTAAGTCTTTACCTGAAACTTTTTTGTCTAAAAGAAAGATAAACATGGGCTGATTCATTTCTTTTTTCAGCATATCAACAACATATTTGTCTAAAGGATATTTAAGTTCAGTGATGGTCTGGTACATCTCTTTTTCTAAACCTGACAGGAAATATGTTGGATTTATTCAAGAGGATTTTTGTTCTCAAAAATCTGATCACTTTTAGAGCTATTTTAAGGTAGAAGCCATTAAACCCTGAAAAATATATATAGATTTTTATTATTATTATTGTTGTTTTTTTTGGAGGGATTATTAGAATAACATTCTTGATGATTCACATGTATGTTTGTATTTATGTTAACAGAGGATCTGTTTTGTTGCCACGGCACTGATCCTGTGACTAACTGTGGTCTCTTCTTTTGTTTTGTCACTTTCACTTTCAGTTTATTTCAAACGTTTCGGTATAAATATATATTTAAAACATCTGTATATTTAAAAATAGGTAAATATTTGTTGAAAAAGAAATTTTATACATTCATGTTTTAACTGTAATTTTAGAAATTTACTTCTTCTAAATGCATAAACAATATTTGACATTACACTAAAGTCAAGAACATTGACAGTGACATTCCTAATTATATATATATAGGTGGTATCAAACTTGTACTCCTAGCTGAGTTCGATATCCATAAATTGCCCATTAAACTATCAGAGTTCCATAAACAAGTGTTACTATACTAGAAAATGATATATGTTCATAAGTACTCCCCACACTCCTCTATCATATGGAATAATAGATTCATATTACATCACAATAAATCCTTATTTTACAAAGAGTGGATGGAGAAAAATAATTTAGGCTATTATAGGATGGATACTAATGTTTGCATGTTAAATTACGAACAATTTTGTGCAAAATATGAATTCTTCCCTCCAAAAGCTGAATTTACCAGATTATTAATGTTGCCTTACCAAAACAATTTATTAATCAGATTAAAAATATAACATGTTATCCAATGACCCCAGAAATACCCAATTTATCTATTAATGGAACATCCATCACTGACCTAAATTCAGTAAATGGCCTAAATGGCACTTACTGAATCTATTTCTAGAAATATGGTAACTTTTGGAAACAATAGAACTCTGTTGTTACCTAATTTTGTGTTTAGCTAAATTCTTTATTCATAAACAAAGAGTGTTGAGATCATTCCCCATCTTTAAAGTTTTTAAATCTGAATTCAAGTTATATTGGGAATCTCTTAAATGTATCAAATCATAAGAACACCTGACTGAAATACTGATAGGTTTGCCCACCGATTCATCAAGCCTAACATGAATCCCCTTGTTACCATGGTAGCAATTATTTTATTATTATCAGACATTCCTTTTATTTTTTATTTCTTATCAATAATGCCTTGTATTTCCATTTTTAAAATCTGCCTCTACTCTGCTTTCCACAGACTTTGTACTGTTGGTATTGCCTTTGTTTAAATAAAGTTTAAATTTTTTTTTATAAATAAAAAAAAATTGACAGCGACATAGATAAAAAAATAACCAGAAAAAAAATAATAAACGTACAAAATATTTTAGAACAGAGCAATAATAATTCAACGGGGCTCCAGTTCATAAACGTAAAACATTGCTTTTACTTTAAAATTCACAGCAGAATTTACTTCCGTGTTTGACGTCATATGCGTAGCGGGGGACGCCCTGATTTACGTCATTCCGTATAATCTATATATCAAGCGTAGTCGCGCAACAGTTGGTACGAACTTGGAAGTCAAACAGAGGACTGTGTTAGATCCACAAGAAGGTTTCCTTCACCTGTCAGACTGTAAGTAGTATTGTTTTTTGGTTTCTTTAAACTTTAAGAAATTTATTCGTTTTAAACTCGATGGTTTAGTTCTATTTTCTACGTAAAAGTATGAAACTGTACAACCGGAACATGACAGCTGAACAAACGAAACTGACATTTGTTTCTGTGGTGGAAACACGTAACCTTCCTGTGGGTAAAAGCAGATTTAATTTAGTGGGTATTTTCTGTTGCCTCTAAACTGTTCTGTAAACATGTCAGGAAGCTTTCGGAAATGTATCAGACGAACCACAAGAGACTTTTAAGCAGTTTTTTAATGTTTCTCTTTAATATGTTTGATTAAAAATGATAAGTAGTTTCTAAAATGGCTGTTTATGGTCTAAAATGTTCTGATTGCTCAAACCTAGACCTGGTTTTTTCAATCAGGATTTAAAACATGGATTATATATATTTTTTTATAGCTTCTCTTGGAAAACTAAGAAATAAATTGTTGGGTTTTATTATCTTAGGGTCTAACGAAAGTTCAGATATTATGTTATTTGTTTATTTAAATGAGTGTATTTGTTTTTTGTTTTTTTTAAGACTTTAGACTGAGGTCACAATATTTTTTGACCTTAATTGGAACATTTAACAGTTTGCTTTACAAAAATTCTTGTTTCTGGGGGAGAATCTACTATAAATCAGAAATACTATTAAAAAATAGTTCAAGAGGACATAAAAACGTATTTTTTGTTTCTTTGCATCTTTTCTGATCATTTCTTTGATTTTATGAGTCATGAAGAATGTATTTTTTTCTTTTAATTGGCAAGCAAAGGGAAAACTTGTTTTGCATCTGAAATAAAGAAGTTGAAACATGCATGTTGGAAGATGAACATTTAACTGGAGGAAAGGTTCTTCCCTGTATATTATGACTAAAATATCTGGTTAGTCAACAAATCTTCACATCTACAACTAGAAATAGTTCTCCTTCATTTTTTGAAGGGCCTCTACAAGTTGTTTTTCTTTCCATATAAAACCATTTACTTATTCCCTGGCATCATACTTTGTATACGTGATCAACCGTTTCTTGTATTTGCAGAGAAAAAAAATAAGGATGGAGGATGGACAGGTTGAAAACCATGTCCCCAAACCAGCCAATGGGATGGAAGTTAACACACACATGGACTCTAAGCTGAACTCTGATGTAGAGAACATAGAGGACACAGTGGAGTTCAAGCTGATGAGGGCCTACGCTCAGAGGAGAAGGCCCAAGAAGGTTGACCCACACAAGGAAAACGGCAAGGCTTTAACAGACTATAGCAATGATGCAGACCCCACACCAGGTCAGACGACAGAAAAGACTGGGAAAGAGGAGGGGAAGAAAAAGAGGAAGAAAAAAACAATATGGAGGCATCTAAAACCTATCCTGAAGTGTGTTAGGCCTCAGACTGATGAGATGGAAACGACACCAACACCAGCAACACCAACATCAGACGAGACACAAGACGATCCCACTCTACGATGTTTTCCTATGGCTTTCACTCTGGATGGTGATCACGGTACGACCCCATGTTCAATAAATAACATTCAGTTGTTACAGAAGCTTGCGTGCTTTTCCAGGTAGAAAGGGATGTTTTTGTTCAGTCCAGAACCAAACATGTCCCAAAGCTGCTGGAAATTATGTTTTTTATAAAGGCAGGAAAATCATGCTTAATTAGAGCTTATTAAAGTTGGTTTAATTTTAGGTCTTCTAATGCTGAGTTAAACGGCTTTAAAGGCTAACCTGCCCTACTAAATTATTTTTGAATTTACAAACATTAATAAACAAATATATCAAACACAGTAACTCCTATTGAGAGAAGAATTATGTAAATCTACTAACAGAATTGTTATAAATGCTGCTGAAACATGTCCAGTTAAGCAAAAATACATTAAAATGTTTTATTTTCTGTAAAATCACAGACTTTTACAGCAGTGTGACTACTTTTGAGATTTGATGACGGATGACAAAAAGTAGTGTATGTTTGTGAAGCGGAGGGAAATGATATGTAGGGGTGTCTAAACTCTTCTGGGACCAAGTGCTTTAGTTAATGCAATAAACATAAGGTTTTGGTACGAAACAATGAGGAAAATCCCCTAGTGCCCACTGTGAAGCACAGTAAGGATCAATGATACTGTGGGCCTGTAGAGAACCTTGGCATTAATGGTGTCATAAACTCCTCCAAAGGCATAATGCGCCATTTTTTGTGTGTAAATGATTTATTTTTCCCATATCCAATCATGCTGGAGTTAAAAAATGACTATTTTTAATGTAAGATTTTGATGCTGCCGTATAAGGAAAGTCTTTCTGGTCTTTTTAAAGGCCGCCATAGATGTGAGAAGTTATGCTGTTAGATTAGTTACTTTTACAAAATTAAAAGACATTTCTTTGACTTATACTTCAATTTAAATCTAATAATTTGTCACATTAGTCTAGATATACTGAAACTACTGTAATCAGCAAAAACAAACAGATTTAGTTGAACTAATTTCTCTTTATTAGCACACATGCCTCCCAAATTACAAGAATGTAAATAAACTGTTGAGCTTTGGTGACTGTTGGTAATAAATAGATGGAGCGTTTTTCCGCACTGGAAACCATCAAGGCTTTGAAACCAGACTTACTTGATCTGCAGGGGATGTTCTCCATGCCTCCTTCAGTCCATGCTCTTTGTTTGCAGTCTCACCCCCTGCTTTATTTAGTCATATTTCTCTCTTTCTTTCAGATTCGTCCAAAGATGAGGATGAGCTAGGGGAGGTGGCGTCCCGTGTGATCGGGCTCGCCGACGAACTTGAGTTAACCGAACCCCCCTCAGAACTGGAGGCGGACTGTCCAGAGGATGCGCTCTCTAAAGGTGCTTTCACACCATATGAGAAAACTGCAAAACTATCCGCTGTTTTACTCGCCTTGAAATTCCTCTGGCCACTGAAAGCAATTCATAGTCCCTGATTTGATTTTGTGATGCGAATGTAAAAAGTTTTAAAACGTTGCAAAAAATTGTCATTTGCCTTGCTAAGTTCACCACCTTCAACTTGCTCAGCTTTGCCCCACCATCTACATTGAGCTATTCGGTGTGAACGTGCCTTACTTAAACCCTTACGGGTTTCACTTTAGTTTGTGGCTTAAAACATTATTTTGTCATTTAAACAATCGTTTCCTCTTTTTAGATGATTTGGAAAAGACTATCGGTCTCCTGCTGAGGTGCAAGGGAGACGACTTAAACAAAAAGGTATGAACCCAAATGAATGGAGCTTTGCTGTGATAGGATAACCTGTCTTTCCTTTAAACTGCTTATATGATGCAATAGGGTTTGCTGTAGAAGTGAATAATAAAACACAGACAGGTCCAGAGTTCAAATGGTTTGCTTTTTTTTTAACAGCTTGTTATGAAACTTGGAAGAACTTTTTTTTTTTTTTTTTTCACCTGAAATTACTTTTTTAAGAAAGGAAATAAGGATTGGATTGTTTGTTTTGTATAAAACTAACCAGAGTTTGTTTGGCTCCCTCCACAGTTTGATGAATTACACATAGCTGCAGACCTTTTCTTGAACTACAACTTCTTCTCTAAGCTTCTCAACGCATTCTTTGTAAGAATCGGATTCAGGAACTCGCAGTCGGACGCCCTGGGACCCCAAGCAGGAAACAAAACCCAGGTCGCCGCCACCTTGGAGGTGAGAGCATCTTTTTGCTGTAGTATTAACAGATTGGTGCTACAATCTATTGGCTGTTTTTTTCCCCTTATATTAATGGTTTCTCCTTTATCAGATAACAAGTCGTCTTTCCTCTGTGGAGGGGCTGCCCAGGAGCCGGCTATTTGAACACGGAGCCCGGTATCTGCAGGAATATTATTCCTCATGGGCTCAGCAGCAGGGCGGATACGTACGTACACCCCCACTTCCTGCTTTTAATAACCAGCTCTTCGCTCTAAAACGTATTTAAAATGTTCCCCTTTTTCTCTCACAGGAGGCGATTTTTCAGGATGACGAGGAAGTTGACTGATACGGACGCAGAAATCGAGCATCACTAAAAGTTTTCAAAGAAACAAATTGGACTCAGGACCTTCATTCTTTGAAATTCTCAAATCAGTTTTCAAGAATGTCTTGAAAGCTCATGGTTTATAAACCTACTGTGATCCAAAGATCTGTTGCAGCCAGCAGTCGGTTTGTCTCTGCAGGGATCAACAAAAAAGAAGAAATCATTTTTATGGAAAATTATTCGTAAAGCTTTTGTTTACTTTGTAAAGTTCTAATTATGTTTTCTTTTCTTTGTACTTCTAAAGGCATTAAATGTCTTATCTCACTAGCACTTTTAGAAAAAAGAGTGGGGGAGAGGGAAAACTTGAGCTTTTTCAATGATGGTATCATTTTAATTTATTTTGTTAAAATATCAATTTTCTAATTTTGTTAAATTTTTATTATAATTTTTTTTATATATCATTTTTAGATGCGCTTGTTATATTTCAATGGTTTTTTTTTTTTTACCCTTTTTAATATGACCTGTGCATCTGATGTTTGAAGTCACAAACTTCAATATATTGTAACTGGTTTAAAATGTTCCAAAGTTAGATATTGTTTTATAAACCAAACCTGCTTTTAGACCGGCACAAAAGAAAACTGACATGTCTGAGATGTTCCTCTGTCTCCACTTTTCTCTCACTATCATTCAAAACTGTAAGTCCTTTACAGAAAAGGTAATGTGCCAAAATAATGAAAGTGGACTCAGAGGTTGTTTCTTAAGGCGGGTAGTTCGGCTTGAATTTATTTAAGGATGTAATCGTGAACTGGACTGATTTTAAAAGAATTATCTTCAAATGAAGGACAGTTTTTAACTCGTATGGTGTTTTTTTTTTGTTTTTTTTTATTGGACCATCATTTTATTAGATGTAGCACAAGTCCTTTTAATGAAAAGGAGCCCAAACTGAAGTAGTTTAAGCTTCAAGCTTTTAAAACATGCATTTTATTTTTGCTCCAGATTCAGTGCACTGCCAAAATGTTGTATTTTTTGTTTTCTGCATATTCTACGAGTTTAAGTCTTAATTACACATATATGATTATAGTAAATTATAGGATAATGTGTATGAAATTCTCATTGAAAGCTTTTAAACTTGTTTTACTTTAATTTGTTTCTCTGAACAACAGCAGCCCCATGTGGTCACAAGAGGAACTGCATGTCCAAATTTGCTCAATTGATACATGATGTACTGTAATTTGTCATGTTAAAAGAGTAATTTGCAATTCAACTGTGAATAAAATAATGTTTGGCCTACCTTTAAAAGATTTTAACAAGGAATTTACCTTTCCTTATTATTTGGAAGTCTACAACTGAAACTACCTAAAGACTACACCCTGAGTTTAAGAGAAGAAAAGATATCTCAATGTTTCAAAATGTATTTTTAAAGATGTTTAGAATATATAAAATATTTAAAATGTGTATTGTTATGAAAATAAAAAATCAAAGTTTCTATACCAGAGGATGGATTTTGATTTCATACGTTTATGTGAAAGCAAACGGCATTAGAGGCACACGTCACCATAGTAACAAATATTTGGTCATGCACAAAAATTCTCACAATATTTTGAAAGATTAGAAGGGGATATTTGGATATATAAATAGTGTACCGTATTTTCTAGACTATAAGCTGCTACTTTTTTCCAGTGTATAAGTTGAGCTATGCTGCCTCTGTGGTCTGGGAATGATAATCCTTTCCACTTCTACTGTGGAAATTACCAGCAGATTGTTTTCCAATGTATTTGTTGTGATGCAGCAGAGAAAGACGTTGAATGCAAAGATTACCCTGACCTGCTACTTGGTTTGGTAGGGGACAGTTCATCAGATAGTGGCTCACATAAGATGTGCTCTGTGGTCTAGAAAATAAGTTATTTAAAAAAAAGAAGCTATGATTCAGATAAATTCAACAAATTTTTTTGCAAAGCTTCTTTTAATGTAAGGAATGTGCCATTTACATAACAATCTGGTATATAAGACATAAAGCTCTAAGCATATATATTCAAGGTATAACATTATAGAGATAAGAAGTTTGGTATTTACGAGTTTGAATGGAAAAAGATGAAAAAGAATTTTACAAGTAAGGTTTTAATCTAAAAATGTAAACAAAAACTTTACATTTTGAAGTAAATATAAAAATGATTCATTTGATTTTCTTTTATTTTGTATTATTGATAGAATGATTGACCCTTTCTTGATGCTACACAACAAAATGTATTTACATTTCAACAACGCTATCATTTTATTATGTTGGGATCAAACTACTTTGAATAAATATCATTTAAATTTTCATTATTTACATGTAGTTTTTTTACGACTTATTTTGTGATTATCAGGTGTTTCCCTGAGAAACGTGTATTAACTCAGTTGGATCTTTAAAAAACATATCGTGAAATAGAGTTTATTTAGAAGTTGTCATAAATAACTTGCATTTGGATTTAGGTAGGTTAAAGGAATAGTACACCCAAAACATGATTAGCCTTCATTTTCTACTCACCTCCATGCTGAACAACACTCTGGAGTACTTTTTTGATATCTCAAATGCATCTGGAGATCTGGGAGGCTTCTTGCTGTCTGCTGACATTCAAATAATGGAGGTCCATGGCGCCCGAGACAGAAAGGTCCATAAAAGTCCACAAAAACGTGTCAATATTCCTCCATACTGCTCGTCCAATGTAATCCAAGTGTCCTGAGTGGGTAGCATCCAGAATTTACTCGAAACGAAGTCATTTAGAATGTTTTTAGAGCATAAACAGTAGTGTATAGGATTTCCTAATAGCGCCCCCATGCGCGCTCACGATTCTACGGAAGCCGGCAGACCAAACCGGAAGGAAGTGCGCATTCAGCGTCTGGTCTGCCGATAATGCAAGCGTAGAAGAAGAAATGTGCTGTTTACCTGTGCAAAGAAAGAAACAACGAAAGAAAAATGTCTGAGGACTTCAGTGTTGAGGAAGAGCATGAGTTCTTTGCCGAGCTGAATGCGCTGGTTTGGTCTGCCGGCTTCCGTAGAATCGTGAGCGCGCATGGGGGCGCTATTAGGAAATCCTATAAACTACTGTTTAGGCTCTAAAACGTTCTAAATGACTTCGTTTCGAGTAAATTCTGGATGCTACCCACTCAGGACACTTGGATTACATTGGACGAGCAGTATGGAGGAATATTGACAAGTTTTTGTGGACTTTTGTGGACCTTTCTGTCTCGGGCGCCATAGACCTCCATTATTTGAATGTCAGCAGACAGCAAGAAGTCTCCCAGATCTCCAGATGCATTTGAGATATCAAAAAAGTACTCCAGAGTGTTGTTCAGCATGGGGGTGAGTAGAAAATGAAGGCTAATCATGTTTTGGGTGTACTATTCCTTTAACAAAAGAACATATTTCAATGGGGAAATAGCTCCCTCATGTGATCAATATAGGAACTACAATCGCTTAAAACCTAATTCAACTTTGAAACAAGTACTGAGATTTTTTTTAAATCTTTTTTTTGGTGGACTCCTTTTGTTAAAAAAAAAAAAGAAATATTTTTTGTTTAGCTGTAAGATTATGTATTGCCTACTTTATTTTTTAAAAAAGTATTCAAAAGAGAGAACGGTTTAAACTAAGAATAAAAGAATGTTAATTATATCAGTTGCCTTTTAAATTGACATCGTTGGTGAATAAAGTTGAGTTTTTTTTTACTTTATAGTCATTGTAAGGAAGTTTCAATTTGCAGGAGATTTTGGAGCACTTCATGCTTCCATCTGCTGAAAAGATTTGTGGAGATGAAGATTTCCTTTTTCAGCACAACCTGGCACCTTCTCACAGTGCCAAAACCACTGGTAAATGGTTTACTGACCATGGTATCACTGTGCTCAATTGGCCTGCCAACTCTCCAGACCTGAACCCCATAGAGAATCTGTGGGATATTGTGAAGTAGAAGTTGAGAGACACAAGACCAAACACTGTGGATGAGCTAAAGGCCGCTATGGAAGCATCCTGGGCCTCCATAACACCTCAGCAGTGCCACAGGCTGATTGCCTCCATGCCACACCGCATTAAAGCAGTCATTTATTCAAAAGGATTCCCAACAAAGTATTGAATGCATAACTGTACATAATTATTTGAAGGATGACTTTTTTTTGTATTAAGAGCACTCTTCTTTTATTGGTCGGATGGAATGTGCTAATTTTGTGAGATAGAAATTTGGAGTTATGATTAGCTGAATGCCAAAATCATCTGTATTAAGACAATAAAACACCTGAAATATTTCAGTTAGTGTGCAATGAATCTAAAATATATGAATGTTCAAGTTTTATCATTACATTATGGAAAATAATGAACTTTATCACAATATGCTAATATTTTGAGAAGGAGCTGTATTTCAATGGGGAAACAGCACCCTCATGTGATCAATACAGGACCTACAATCACTTTAAACTTGATTCAACTTTGAAAAAAAGTTAGATTTTTTAAAAATCTTTTTTGTGGACTCCTTTTGTTTATAAAAAGGAATAAAAAAATATATATTTTTTGTTTAGCAGTAAGATTATGTATTGCCTACTTTATTTTTAAAAAGTATTAAAAGAGAGAGAACGGTTTAAACTATGAATACGTGATTTTGTGTTCATTATGTTGCCTTTCAAATTGACATAGTTTGTGAATAAAGTTAAGTTTGTTACATTTGCATTTTTTGGAAGCGGAGCGTGTCATGCTGCCCGCTGTGGAGTCTGAAATGAGATCCAACCCGTTCTCCAGCAGATCAACCTGCTCTCTGACAGCTGCCGCAGACTTTAAGCGGCATTACCAGGCTCAGCATGAAGGGAGTAATGTTTAACCCCGCACCCAGGATCCGTGAGATCGCCTCCAAGGACTCCCTGGCAATGGATGACTCAGCTGTGGAGCCTGTTCGCATTAAAACATCCCGGCTGACCCAGACGACCGCCGAGGCTCATCTGGAAACGACGTGGCCGCCGCCCGGAGCCAAGGTGCGCATCAAGGCCAACAAGGGCGCGGTGGTGAGGGTGGCCCGGCGGTGTTCCAACCCCCAAGCGTCCAGTTTGGTAGAGGTGTGGGCACCGAGAGAGGAGCCGGAGGAGAAACCTCAGAGCCCTGAAACGAGAAAACCGCCTGAAGCCATGAAAAACGGGGTAGAAGGACACGGAGGAGCGCCACCCAGGAGCCGGAAGAACCGCTTCAGGGCCCCCGATGTGAGGACCATCTTCTCTCCCAGCGAGAAGGACCCCAGAGTGAAGGAGGAGACCGGGGAGGGACACACCTTTGAGCCCGGAGGCGAGAACAACTGGTGTGATGTGTGCTGCAATTATATCCTCCAACACGGTCTCACCTGTGCAGGTATGAAGGAGAAGGTCAAGATAAAATACTAGAAGTTTTAAATATATTGAAATGCAGAGGCGTAGCCAGAAAATCCTAATAGGGGTGACCGAAAGGCACCAGAACCTCAGGGTCATCTAAACTGTTCCAACTTCTATATTTTCTAAATAATGACAAACTATACTTTCCTGCAGCCTTTGCTAACAAATAGACACATATATTTAAACATAAATGCTGTGTAAATAAAAGGTAAAGTGGGACAAAATTCTTTTAGGTTTGAGACAATGTCTTTTATTATCAATCATTCTGCAAAAAATTATATGTTAATCTACTAATATCCACATTTAAGGATTTTTTGAGTTATTATTAAAGTAGTTATCTATGATTTCACTGAAGACTCCTAGATGACGTGCAGAGGTACATAATTTAATATTTAGCCCAAATAATTCAAAATTTAGTTCTGAAAAGAGCATCAATGTATTATCTATCATCTTTAAAGTGCATAATTAACAGCAGTGTTTCTGTTTGTCAAGTACTTGTTAATATATATATAAAAAATATAAATGTTTAATAAGTTTGAACATTCCCCTTCAGAATATTACTGCTGCCACAGTCTGTATTAGAGGGGGAAAATGGTAGGGGTGGCCAATGATTGGCTAAGGGTGGCCATGGCCAATGGAAATGATAGATTGGCTTAAATAAAGCTATTAATCCAAAACCCAGTATGTTTTCATTTTATGAAATATAACCAAAAATAGAGTAACTCTGAAATAGAAGAAAAAATGCACATAAAATATGCATAAACTTCAAAAGATATGCATATATATTAAATTAAAAATTCAAATGTTCATTTATGTGAGGACTCCAGGTCAGTGCTATGTAAAATCACTTTTTACTGCATCCTGAAGGGTCTTTGGATGAGACTTAGAAATGTTGCTTATTCTTCCTTGGTTCAAACTCTAGCAGCCAATTAAATTGGAATTAGGTTTTTACAAATCAGCATGTTAAGTGATCTTGGCTTCTAGCAAACTTTAAACAAACAGAACAGGATTTGTCCTTTCCTCAAAAATACCCCCCTCCCATTATAGATCTGTGTAAAGAGCAAAGACTTTTATTAATCCCACCTGAGTTGTGTTTTTTTGCAACTCCTCCACCATTAGCACAGCCCCAATGGCTACCTCTCCTATTAATACTGCCACAACCCTCTTTATCTTCATGATTATGACTGATGTTGTTTTCCTAATGTGCCTAACAGACCTCTTAGGTGTCCAAATATTAGCTGCAGAGGAGTAGCCAGAAAATCTTTATAAGGTTGGCCATGGGATAACCAATGTACACTGAGGGGTGGCTGAAAGTGGATAGGCGCCAGAACCTCAGGGTCAATCTAAAGTGTTCTAACAGGAAAAATAATGAGCAAAACATCCATATTTTCTAAACAAAGACAAACTATACTTACTCCTACAGCCTTTGCTAACAAAAGGACATATATATTTAAACATTCATGCTTTCTAAATAAAAGGTATAGTGGATAAAATTCTTTCAGGTCACCCCTGGCCCCCTATCTAGCTCCGCCCCTGATCAGCTGCACTTAGATTACATATTAATTTATTATAGAGTCACACTCAGGTGCACTCTGTTTACTCTCCAGGTCTGTTATGAAGCAAATGGTTACTTTAGATTTAAAGGTATTGGTGTAAAAAGGACATTCGTCAGGTTTATATTTAAAGTAAGTCCCAACACCACACAATTATGCTCCACTTTGCATTTATCTACTACACAGAATCACTTTAAAATACATAAAAGCTGGTAAGCCACAGTGTTCTGCTAATGGTATATAAAGTGCAATTAGCTGCAATTTGTATTTTCCACAAGGGGAAAATATCTTCTGAAAAAGAAGAAAACTTGTTTTGTTGCCTAAACAGTTGCTATTTTAGTTGCCAACTAATATAAAACTTATTGTATTAATTCTTTTAAGAAATCTCTCCAGGGTTTTAAAAACCAAAAGGTGTTAACAAATTTTTTTTGGTGTGAGTTTAAAAACAAAATAAGATTACATCAGAAGTTTTCCTAAAAAATAAGTATTACATAATTTGTTGATCTGTGGGAGCCACTTATTTTCATATCCTTTGAAAGAAATGTTTGTTGTAGATGGAACTCATCCTGATGACATCCCAGCCAGTTAGTCTGATTGTTTTAACCACTGCTTGTTCACATAGTTGGAAATGTTAATGGGCAGGGCTGTGAAACACCTCGGAATGTAGACGGTATGCAGACGAACTAGTTCAGCCAACAAGTTTGACTTACTCCTCAACAGAGTACATCCTTCTGCTAATGATGTTATCTGAGAAACAATAGAAGGAAGTTATGTAAAATGTAAAAGAAGTCTTTCCTGATGTCCATATTCCTGTTTTCCTGTCCTATTCTTATCTTTACTTTCAATATATATATATATATATATATATATGCAGAGGCGTAGCCAGAAAATCCTAATAGGGGTGGCCAAAAGGAACCAGAACCTCAGAGTCAATCTACACTGTTCCAACAGGAACATGCACAACATCCATATTTTCTAAATAAAGACAAACTATACTTTCCTGCAGCCTTTGCTAGCCAATAGACACATATATTTAAACATCTATGCTGTGTAAATAAAAGGTATAGTGGACAAAATCCTTTCAGGTTTGAGACATGTCTTTTATCAATAATCATTCTGCAAAAAACTATATGTGAATCTACTAATATCCACATTTAATGACGTTTTTAGTTATTATTAAGGTAGTTATTTATCTATGATAAATATGATTTCATATTTATATGATTTCACACGTTCAAAAGTGTGGGGTCACATTGAAATGTCCTTATTTTTGAAGGAAAAACACTTTACTTTCTTAATGTAGATAACTTTAAAATAGTCTTAACTATAAAGAAATACACTCTATACATTGCTAATGTGGTAAACGACTATTCTAGCTGCAAATGTCTGGTTTTTGGTGCAATATCTACATAGGTGTAAAGAGGCCCATTTCCAGCAACTATCACTCCAGTGTTCTAATGGTACAATGTGTTTGCTCATTGGCTCAGAAGGCTAATTGATGATTAGAAAACCCTTGTGCAATCATGTTCACACATCTGAAAACAGTTTAGCTCGTTACAGAAGCTACAAAACTGACCTTCCTTTGAGCAGATTGAGTTTCTGGAGCATCACATTTGTGGGGTCAATTAAACGCTCAAAATGGCCAGAAAAAGAGAACTTTCATCTGAAACTCGACAGTCTATTCTTGTTCTTAGAAATTAAGGCTATTCCATGCGAGGAAATGCTAAGAAATTGAAGATTTCTTACAACGGTGTGTAGGCTACTACTTCCTTCAGAGGACAGCACAAACAGGCTGTAACCAGAGTAGAAAAAGAAGTGGGAGGCCGCGTTGCACAACTGAGCAAGAAGATAAGTAGATTAGATTCTCTAGTTTGAGAAACAGACGCCTCACAGGTCCCCAACTGGAATCTTTATCAAATAGTTCTGGTTCGTAAGTTTGCTAATGTTTGTTTGCTAGTTTTAGCTGTAACTTGTTGCTGTCAAAAAAAGAAGCATATATTTTATTTCATTAACAATGAATTCAGTGAATCTTTGCTGCCAAAAAATATTTTTCAGTAGGTTTTCTTCTTTATACCATAAAAGGCAGGGATTTCTAAAGACAAGCCCTGCTGTACTACCATCTTTAAGCAGAGTTAGCTAATGATATACAGACAATTAAATTCTGTTTTCTCTGTATAAACCAAATTATATTTTGGATTAATCATATTTAGCTAACTCGATTACGTCCAGATGCAGCAGATGTCTCTGTCCACATCTGGACACAGCCTGAGCAGACAGCTCTGCTGTGAAACAAAATAAGCACATTTGCTCTGTTGAAAGCTGACATGTTTTTCTTTTCTTTTTACAAAAAGATTAATTTACATACATCTGACATATTCATACAGTTTTCCTGTATGCTGTAAGTGTTTGAAACTAAAGTAAAATTCCTCGTTTGTCTAAAGTCAGGCCCAAAAAGAAGAAAATAGGATAGAAAATCATTTTATTTTCCCACAATGGGTAAATTCTGGTTAAAGGCTGATTCAGATTTAAATACTAGCTGAAGTTGTCTTATGTTTTCTGTAATCAATTAATATATGTGTTTTTTTTTTATTTATCTTATTTTACCCTTATTTAAAGACACAGATAAAAGGATATCAGAAATAAATGTGTATTTTCTTTCCAAAGGAAACTTTAGGATTAAATGTAGAATAAGCATCTTCTTTTTATGTGTTAAATGACAGCAGCATAAGGGCAAAAAGCAACAAGAAAGGAAAACACTTTGAGCAAATTCTTTCCACTGGAATATTGATGTTAACACTGGTCACTCATTCATTGGGCATCGCACAGAAATGGTCACCTATAAACCAGATGGTGTTGCAGGTTTTTCTGCAGTTGAACATTAATTTCGACTGAAGAGCAGGTGTTTGATTAATCAAAATATTTTCAAGCAGGTTGTATTTTCAAAGGAATTTAATGTTTAAAATCTAAATGGGGGGAGACTTTTAGAGGCTTTATGATTTTTATTTATGAACATCAACAAAAGGGATAAGAATTCAAAATTAAACTGATTATTTTGATAAAATAAGACATTTTAATCGTTAATGCAAAAATACTCTAGTGAGGCAAGGCAAAGGCAAGGCAAATTTATTTGTATAGAACAATTCAGTACAAAGACAATGCAAAGTGCTTGACATGATTAAAATATAGGAAAATAAAACAGAATCAAAGCAAGTAGAAAAAAAATAAAATAAAAAATTCAGAAACATAAAAGAGTTGGACTAAAGAAAATAAAAAGTTGAACTAATGATGTTGAACTGTTTAACTAGAACAGTCGAAGGCAATCCTAAACAAATGTGTTTTTAGTCTTGATTTAAAGGAACTCAGGCTTTCCGCACTTTTACAGTTTTCTGGAAGTTTGTTCCAGATAAGTGGAGCATAGGAACTAAAT